GCCAACCTAACTGTAGGCATAGCCAATAGCATCTGTGTTTTCCTTGTGCTAAATCCAGAATGACAGTTAGCTTTAGGACATACTGAAGCTTCTGTTCATTAATATTTGCTCTTATTATTTAATTAGATTGTTTTATGATAATATTAATACTTTTTGAGGTTCAGCTAGTGTAAGTTTTTGGTTCTTATCACAAATAGACCATCTATCTGATAAATGATGACATATGAATGTTTTCTATGCAACCAACAAGGTGGGTTCACCCAGTACACTAGGCTAATGTAATTGGGGAATTTGTATTCAGTGTATTGCGCAGTCCCAAATAATTAAGTAAATTCAACTGAACTATGATTTGTCAAATTTTGATGAACTATGATTGGGTTTTGTGAACAGAGTCACAGCATAGTACTATGACCATTCCTTCTCCCTGAGTGATTGGGAATGTTAACTCTTGAGCAGGGTTAGTAGATTCTACAGAACTAACACTTAGCATGTATGTTTGCTAGGATTCTTGGGGGAAAACCATGCCATATAATATTTCCATAATACACTTATCCATGGTTAATTCCATAACTGATTTATAGAATTGACCAATTTTCAGCATTTACCTAACACAGCAGGCTAAAATGTGGTTAGCTAATATGTGGTTCGGTGTGTCATGTAAACAATGAGGGAAAAATATAATATAGATATATGCTAATAATGTTTATCCAATCCCATAGATAAGAATTTGATGAAGCTGGCTGGTCAGCTTTGAGCGTCTAAATAACTGAGCATAAAGGCTTTCATGATAGTTGCAGAACTGTCATTTCCTCAAAAGAAATATTAGAAAATTTATGCTGAGGAGCAAAGCGGTTGATTGTATCTTTAAGAATAGCTTTCATACATTGTCCTGAAAAGTAAGATGCGGGTTTACTTTGCAGAATGTTCTTATGTATTTATTTAGGGTGTTCTTGATAAAATAACATTTGGGGGCTTTTCAGTTTTTGCAATGATATATTTCAGGAAACACCTCTTTCCGCATGAATCAACTCAAGTCTTTGTTTCTGGGACCTTTCACGCCTCACAAAAGTGTAGCTGGCAAGGGTGAGGAGGGTCTTTCAGTTGCAGCACCTGAATTATGCAGTAGACTCCTTAAAAAGTTGGACGTGCTTTCTTTTTGCCTACTTTTAGATGGGTTTCATTTTGATGAGAATTTTATATTCTCTAACAATCTTTTAAGCTATAGATACATGATAGTATGTCTAATTTCTAAGTAGTTATGCATAGGATTAAATGGTCAATATGACATTGTAGACGACTTTGGGATGCTACTCGTTTATTCTCTTTTGTTCTAAAAAACTTAAATTTGTGCAATTTATTTGCATGCATTTGATGATGAGGATAGAAAAGCTAGTGTAAGTATGACAAAAATATACACAAGATGTAGAAGATCACAGTAGCAGCTGTTTGTGTTAGCTATATATTATCTGACACTTGGGAACACATATTTACAGCTCTGTTTGCAGAATAATGTAAAATTTTCCTCAGGTGAAGTATCTTTGTAGGTGCACAGATGTTATATGCACATACAAAGGGGCAGGGCTTCTATCCAAGGCTGTGCCTACCACCTTGGACCTCTTACTCCCCCCACCCCCACTGCAGAGGCCCCTGCCTCGCGTAGGGGTTCAGCTGCCAAAGTGCTGGTCTCAGCATCTGAAGACTGGGAAAGGCAGAATGCTCCTGGGTTCTTTGAAAGTAGAAATTATGATACTGTAGAAGTGCTCCAAGCTGCACCATGGATTTTAAAACTACCTATTCTCTTTTTCCAAGAGTAAATAGAAGTATGAGATGAGGAACCAAGTGTTTTCAGTGCTTCTCAAATGAGGACTCAAATGTATGAAAATAAACATAGCATTGTGGATAATTACAGAAACTAATAACATCTAGATCAACATGCTGTAAAATACACAGAAAGAGGCAATTGTAGTATTTATTTATAAGTATAGTATCTTCACAGTCAGGTAATATAATAGGAATAACTATAGTATTATCATGGAAGTGGTCCTCAATAATGTTCACTCTGGAGGCTGAATCACATAATCCCTAGTACCACCAGAACCATTCCTTAGAGTCAGGCATTCTGAGAATAAGGTACACACAGAAGAAAATAGAAGGTAGTTATCATCCTTACTTTATTTCACTTCTTTTAGGGACTCTCTTTTCATTAATCCTATTCTTATACTCTAAATGTAATAGTATTTTGTAGTGAAGGACTAGAAATTTACCAGAATCACATAATACTGTATCAGTTCACAATTGTTTTCTGTAAGGGTTCATCTTCCAGTGTGATATACAGTATGTGCTAATATTTGTTAGCAATGAGGCCTAGCAATGCCCACTGCATTCCATATAGGAGATACAATTAATATTCACACACAAAAAAATGGATTATACATCTGACATCAGAGATGGCAATATTCAAAATTCATTGGAAGGGGATATTCCCACCTTCTTGAATATTTTGAGCCTTATTCCAATATCAGGTGAGTGGATTTCTGTTCCCGCAGCAAGAATTTCCCCTTATATTCCCCTTACCCTCATTGTATGCTTCCAAATATTTAGGTAGATAATAGTACTATCCTATCCTATATATATTTACTAATAAGTAAGCCCCACTGAGATTAATGAAATTTATCCCTAGATAAGTGTATGTAAGATTGCATCATAAGTAATTGAAATTTACAATATAATGACTGTTACTATAGCTAGAGAACACAAGGGTTTTATTAAATTATAGTTATAATTATCTTGAACATTCCATTGATCTATAGTTAATAGATTGTTTAACTTTTAACCATGGCTCTCAACAGTTTTGACTTTGAAAATGATCACAGTACCACAATCCATTGTTCTGTGCTTAGAGTAATGCTTTATCGTGCTGGTCAACATAGTTTGCATTCTGCAAGCTCATACTTTCTAATCAACCATTGGACAGATGAATGGATTTTCACTGCCAGATGTAACAATTAAACATTGCTGGCATGCAAAGCCATTGTCAGTCTCTAAATGGCAAATGATCAACTCAGGTGTTATGTATTAAATGTAATGATCTACCTTCTCCCCTGTTCAGTTGCAGCCTCTTGCCTGGGATAGTCTGCATTTAATGAAGCTACTGTGGAGTTTATACATCACATGATACAGTACTGTGATTTGCTTGGTTTTTGCTCAGTGTGTTATGTGAACCTAACCACTGAAGTTGTTAAACAGATGGAATAGTGCAATGTGTAAATCTAGTATATTGTAATTTATACAAGAAACCATGGCTTGGTGCAGTATGAACAAGCCAGCATGGTTAAATACTATATATGAAAACCTACCACAGTAAGATAAGCCTTTCCCTGGAGTACTCATGTTCCAGTTGCTCAAGGAAAGGGTTATTCTCTTGGTAGCACTTAGATCTGATACTGTTCAAAAAGGATTGTATCACATGCTATTTCAGTATATTTGAATTTAACCATCTTGAATGGTAGTATATATTTTTGATTTGGTTATTTCATTTTTGCAACAGTGTGACAAGATCACTAATCCTATTTATAAAGTTGCAAAAGCACCATAGTTATTCCCATAGCAAACCTATTCATCCCATCTCACTCTTCTATAAAACCACACTATATTAATACTGACCAGTTTGCTTGCAAGAGTATTTTACTATTAAAAAAGTAAAGTCCATATCTTTAGAAACAAAAGATAAGCAAGAAAGCTGGGTTGGGTAGCTCTGAAAATCTGGGATACTATTTAAATTTGACAGTGTAGCAGACTGATATAATTGTAAAGTTTTCCATTGTAAGCATTACCAAATGGCAAACGCTGGAGTTGCTGTTTAGATTTTGAAACCATCTTTAGTTGACCTATAATAGGCAATTCAGGACACAGTTAAACAAGCAAAAAATATAATTCCTATTAATGCATCTTTAGGTTTCCCTGTTATATTTAATAGTGAGCCTTAAACAAGGAACATGCATTTATTACCAGTATTTCAGAGAAATGTGTCAAACAAAGCAAGGAATCTTCTCCCCCACAACAAATTTAAACTTGCATATCAAGATGACAAAAAGGAATTCGGGATATTTAACTGAAGGCAACATGCCCCTAGATCAGCTTATTGTTTTCGAAATAACCTGCATCAGCACGGAAACATGGCAACTATTTATAGCAGTGTTGTCCAAACTTGGCCACTTTAAGATGAGTGGACTTCAACTCCCAGA